CATGACAATGCAGCATACCTTGTCCATCGGTTGGTGCACTGAGTAGCGTGGCTCGCCTGTGTGACACCACGGGCCAATCAGAAAGAGCTTTTTGCCCGATGTGTCGCGCTAAATGATACGATTGGCTAAGAGGTTAATATTAGCATCAGTAGCTTGATTGGATGGCAAGGCCTCAGTAGCAGCATAGCGGGTGCATAATCATAGTTGCAAGTAAAACAAATCCAGGCGATTTGGGATCTTTAATCGTGTTTGCCACTGATTATCTTTTTGCAATTATATTCAACAAGTATTTTAATGTGTGGGCAAATCATGCATGCTAAATGCTTTTTTGTTAAATGAAAATGTATAAATGCTGACTAGTAAAGTGAAAATCATATTCGATTAACCCAAAGTCACTTCAAGAACCTGTCAAATGCTATGTTCTTTAGTGTATACTCACCACAGGCGCAAACTCTTAAAAAAATTGTGTATAAAACCATCCCCTCAGTATTCAGTGTTCCAATATTTGATCACAATGAGAATTTGTCGACTAGAGTAGTTGCACTAAAAAGGAGAAGTGAATCGTAGAAACAGGTGGGCTCTTCAGATATTGCCAGTTGCCGTTCATTTTAGATTAAATCTGAAGCGCTTTCCTCCCACCGTGTAGCCGCACACAGTTATGATGTTACTTGTGCTTTGGGATCAGCGTAACTAGCGAAACCCAGAAAAAGGGAGAGGCGCATTTATGTCAGCCACGAACATTGAAGAAGAACATAAAATCCTTTAACACAGGCAAATATGTACTTTAACTCAAAAATTTCGCCTTAATACGTAATTACAGCTGTTGTAAATGTACTTTGGTAAAGGAATACGAAATGTGGAAAATGAGGAGATTGATCCCTTTCGCATCAACTGGGCCCTTTTTACGATGGTTTGATATTATCACCGTTTGATTAAGACCAAAAATACGTGTTTCCTAAACAATGGTGAGGAAAGGACATTGTGCTAACAATTAGCCAGTGCAGTCATGATTGATTACGAAAAGCGACTACCTAGTTTTTGGTTTCCCTGCTCTTTGACACAATCGTAGCCTCCAGCTAGTAGGCATTCTAATCAGATGATTTGGGATCATTTTACGCTATCTCAATCAAAGTAGCAACAATATGGTACTTTGGCATGCGTTATCTAAAAATAAAATTCTTATTCTTTAGTATACTTTTCCTAGTGATTTAAGAAGGTAATTTAACCACTGCTCAAAAGGTGGCAATGCCCAACACTGGTCGTGAAACGCCTGTAGAACCCAAGGGCTCAATCTAATCAGTTCTTATCTTTCGTAATGTTTCATTAATGTGGATTTATTCCAATGGCTTCGACGATTCGAAATGATTGTTTATTCTAAGGTATATGCTGACAGATTCGCAGGTCAAATAAAATATTTTGTCATGTGTTTGAGAATGCCTGTAGGGAAAGTTGCAAATTACGAAAGTAGCTGATTGACATGGAGAATATGCTTGGTATTGAGCGTAGTAATGTGTGGTGGGTGAATGGGTGTTCAAATAAGTTAACAGACCTGAACGCCAGCCCTGTGTTTGGCTGGCCACAATCACCATTCAGCAGTTGAACGGCAGCGTTGTTTACAGCTAAACACGTATTTACGTTCATGCTACCTCCTGCTCCACAAAAGTGCATTCAAACTGTCAATGTGCTTGTTTGATGGCTATCTGTGAAGACACAAGATAGCATAGCAAGTAGCTGCAACGTCAAAACCAATGCACGGACCTACGTGTCTAGATGACCATATGCACCAATCAAATGCAAGCTAAACTCACTTTCTGTTTGTCCACTATTTAATTGAGCTAGTGTTTTTGTCTTGCCTGATTGTAATAAAAAACCAAAATAATGTTTTAAAATTGTGAAACATGAGTTTTTTGATATAGCCATAGCATCCCAAAAGTCATTAATGTTATCTACTTTCTTCATCCTAGGGAAGCATGATCATGTCCCAGCTGATTACTCACTGCGTCTTCACACTCATTCAATGGCGAGTTGCAACCTCCATAGAAATGCATTTAGGAAGGGATTTAAAAGAATCTCAGTGCCCATTACCAAAAATGTCTACAGTAATTGGTGCTTAGCTTAGGCGGTGAAAGCTAATAATAGCTGTATCTGGTGCATAGAACAATGCCTTAAGTGATGCAAATTTCTAACGGTTCAGCTAAACTGTGAGGTGTTTATTTCAACAGCGTAACTATGCATATCTGCAACTACAATTTGTGCTTTTCTGAGATTGGCGTAGCTAACGATGCTTAATAAAAGTGCCAGATACATTTGGAATAACCACGTACGTCAAAAGTAGAAGGTAACATCGCTAAACTCAAGCACACACCAAATGATATGCTTTGCCTTATGTTTCTGACAAGACATCGTAAAAACCAATGTCCTAGATACATTTTATGAAAGCGGAATGGGTGATGCAGATTAAAGAGTAGAGTGCAACCCACTGAATTGAGTATAGTGGGTCAAGCAATTTGGTTTCCAGGCTTTGTCATCCATAGCACTATCTTGTTACCGCTATAGTGGGTGCAGCATTGAATAAGACCGTGTCATCTGATTAGAGCCACAGATCATCCTGACAGCCGGATTTTGTGAATGTGTCAGTATGTAAGTATGGAGTGATCTATATTTCTTTGTCGTATGTACATTTTCGGATTGCAGTGTTAAATGTTGCAATTCAGTCTTCTGGAAGGAGATCTAAGGCATTTGAGCATAGAAACAGCGCTTTGATCCGTTCACGTCAGAAAATACTCTCTATATCAGTCAATAAGCAAATGCTATTGTAAATAAATCAAATCTACGCCAAACGGCCTACTAATTAAGCATGGATTAATAATATCTGAAATCCTTCAGAAAAAAACAAGTAACCATCTGCAGTCAGTTACCCAATTTCCACTAAATGGGATTGCATTTCACAGAGCAGTCTTCAAACTAGTCCATAAAAGGTGTCACATTTTTCAGAATCGAAAATCTCGTTGAAATGATGACCCCCAACACACACACCTGGGGTATCACGCAAACAATTGAAAGGGAATCACTTGCTTTCATTTTTGTGGGTAGAGTTAGATAGAACATGAAAGTTGGTAGGATTACTAAGCGAAAGGTGCATAAATTTGTCTGTGATACCATTTGTACCTGTGATATCCTATCACTAAAGATTGGTTAAAGACCCTCATTAATGGGAATGAGGAGCTGCCGGTAGTGATCCTCCTGTTTCAACACAAGACACCTTTCACTAAAAGGCTATATTTTTGTAAGCAAAAGTCACTCTGCTTCCCATTTTGGCCATTTGCTCAGTTTCTTGCCCTTGGAACAATCATTTCTCATTACTAATAAGATGAGGGTCCTTAACTAAATTTGTGTCCTCAAGACCGATAAAGTACACTTTCTTGCCATTTTCAAGAGGCAAATATATCCATCAAAAAAGACTTTAACAATTAATAAATATATTTGGAGATGTAGCGAGACGAATTTCCTAATAACCCACCTTTTATTATGCTCCTAACCAACTATTATAGCCTTTATTTTCTTACGGTAAAAGATTGCAAGGTGAGATTTTCGAATATGGAAAAAGTGACACCCTTCTATGGGTGACCTAATGACTGGTCCGTAGGACTCATTCCCACCTAATGGAAATAAAGTAACTGATATCTGACTCCTGACAGTTTGTTCTGGTGAACTTCAGATGTTAATATTTTATGACCAAATAATTAGAAGTAGAATTGGTGCTTCAATTTCCTACTTTATTACCAAAATTTGTTTATTAAGGCAGGCTACAGACAGATATGTTTATGGATTGTATCAGTTTATTTGAGTAAATATGGTACAGGCTAACTTAAGCTCTATCGGTAAAAATGGAAAGGAAGCTTGTAAATAAGCTTTTTATGGGCACTTTTCATGTACTTCGCAAAGTGCTCAGTTTTTGTATTCGCCACTTGCCACTCTGATCGTGTTAGGTAGACATCTTGACTTCTGCTTTGAAGTAGTTTATGGACTTGAACTTCATCTGATATGCAGAATTTCGATGACATCCCTTGATTAATTCAGTGTTTGTTCCGTAAAGTCCGTTTCTGTGGGGGTACAATCAAATGTCAAAGGACGTCACATTCCGTGGTGTATTTGCCTTACACTAGTCGCTGTTACGCGGTGATTTCGTTCCAAATATGCGAAGTGATAATAATAACCAATTAAAGTTAGACATTTTTGAGTATTTTTAGGCCTATTCCCCTAGAAAATGCACTCGATGCAACAGAATGTTTTGACTGCAAAAGATGTGACCATTGTCTTTTGCAATACTGGCAAGCTAAGAAAGAAGTTGATTAGAGCACATACAGTGGAATAAATTTGGTGCTTCGGGTGCTTCCGGAAGATGTCACGTATGCTCGCGCGGTACTGTATCTGTTTAGTCCGATCTCAAAACTCGTAACTCGAGATTTCTGGTTTGTTATGGAGTGATCAGTAAATGCTTTATCATTGCAAGTCCACTTAATGACCTATATGATGATCAATGAATGGGAACTCGGCAGTTTTATTCGCAGAATGCGTTGTCAAATTTTTTAGTTAGCGAGATGATTAGCATGGGCAAACTACTATATTATGATTGGCATGTGAATTTCCTGATTTTAAGTTCGTCCTGTGAATGATGTGGTGGTGTCATCTTGTGCTTGTATGAGCAGAATGACAGCCAATGTTGTGTTATCTATACCATGTGGTGTAGTTTTGCTCCTTTTGAGCACAGTGTGTCATTGTATGTTGATTTACTTGAATTTGGTCTATATAATCATAAATAAGTGGAAGTTGGCAGTATAATAGTAATAATATCGAAGGCACAGAAACGCGTTTCACTGCATCTAGCATAATTTCTTACCGTGTTGCTTCACCTTATGGGTGGAAATCGGTATCAAAATATCCGCTAAGTTTATTATGACAAGCAACACGTAGCTCACTGGTGTGACCATTATCAAACTATGAGTTGTAATACTGCCCTACCTACATCTCAACAAGATGTTTCAACATTAAAAACAGCTCGCTTATCCAAATATTTCATTTTTGTACCTTATCTTAAAGATCTGAATGAGATATTTCATGTGTAGATTCACCACTACTTCTGCACAATAGGGAGTCTATCCTTCTGTTTTCAGAAGAGATTCGCTGACATCGTGCAAACTGACACAAATCATTTGGCAGAAATGTATGTAGTGGATGAAGAGCAGGGAGGTTGGAAGTAACATTTGACCCATATCACATTTCTTAGGCGAAATTCGGCAATTGAGAGCAAGGAACGAAGTGGAAGGGGAAAAGAGCAAGCATCATTGAGCACTGAGAAAAGAAGTGGCATACGGGTTAGTGGATGCGAGAGAAGTTGTCTTTATATGTGGTTCTAGGGCGTCTCATCCCATTACATTTGAAGTCGTGTATCTTGTTACAGATGGTGCACTTGGCGCTGGCTTGGATAATTGTACCTGTGGTAATCATGAGAATTCGGATAATGGTGGTAGTGCATCTACTATTACTAATGTGGCATCCATTGTAATAGGGACACTAGAACTACAGCTAGCAAAGATGTTGACATTTGATGATGACATTTTGTTAAGTACTATGTCCTACACAGTTGATGTTGGGATGTCGATGAATGACAAGGTGACAGAGAGTGCAGATAGCTATCAGACCAGTGGGTGTGCGACGTCGTATGGAACCAAAGAAAGGTCTTTCAATATTGCCTCGTCGCTGTGAGAGCGATGGCTCCGGTACCAACAGCCTCAGTGGTGGTTGTATTTGAGGTGAAGTTGCATACTCATCTCCGAGAGATTAGTCACAATCATCTCAACAGTTGAGGAATATCACTAATTTCTATCTTCTGATATCTCCATAGTTCATCGTCTACCATCCTAATTGCTATTTGGACTTATTTAGTCTATCGTACGTCATGGCAGGTCAGTAGCAGAATGTGAAGGTAACAGAATTAGCCTACAGCTTACAGCTCAAGCTGATGTGGAAGAAGAGCATCAATGGCAAACCGTAGCAAAACCCATTACTCTAACCTCAACATTGGGAAGGTATTGCATTCGTACTCCCTGCCTTTTCATCTACCCTCTGTATTATATCAGAATATCTTGACCTTCCTTTATTGTAGTAGCAAAGGAAGTCCCTTAAGTACCTTAAGAAATATGGTGACGGTTTCTTGGCTACACAGACTGTCAGACAAAGTAATGCAATGTCGGAAAGTTAGACATCACACTTCAGCTGAAATTCAATAAATGCAATTATATCTTTTACCCCTAATTAATTAAGCAATGGTAAAGAATACCAGCACCATCATAAATGAAGAGAATTGACAGGAAACAACTAGGAAGGCTTCCTCCAGGTGTTTAGCTATTCTAAGACTTCTGAGCCACATGCTCTAGGCATCTGCCAGATAAAAGTGTGATTTTTTAGCAGTTTATGCTATTTTTCGCATCGAACAGACTACCCCGTGAGTGACCTGCATTTTTTATTTTCGTCCCGTGTGTGCATGTAGGCAGGCAGCTGAGCGAGAAGAAAAGTCCAAAAGCAAAGGCATGGAATCAAAAGGATAGCAATATATAAATTGAGGGACCAAGAACCGAGGAAAATGAAATGGGAAATAGACATGACCACCATTAGCACAAGAGACACCTCTACAGGGACGGAGAAAGAGTCAGTAAGATATGCAGCAGGAAGACGAGAGAATGTCTCCCTGCCTATCAATGAGGCCAAGATATGGCCATTTCGATCCAGGAGAGGAAATTATCCTTAGCACTTATAGATAAAGTTATCTTAATCTTCTAGTGTGTAAGTTCGGCTTTGCATTGATTCAGTCAATAAGGCTATTATAGAGAAACTGAAAAAATAGTTGGTCTGATCCACGGTGCAGCAAACAACCGCTATTCCAATAGAAATGCTCTACTGCTCTGATGTGACAAATAAGCAAACATTCCAACTAGATTGGAGTAGCACTCAGAGAAAATGGAAAATTAGGTATACTTCTCCCATCACCGAAGGATTAGCGTTAATTAAGAGACCAGACACAAGCCATTCATTATCTCTAGTGCTTTCTCGTTGAGGTCTTCAAGTTACTCACATTTGTGAGTTGTTACATCATCGCTTTTAGCCTTATTTATAATATAGTGTGTGAGCTAACAGACCAGGCAATATTCTTGACTCCTTTTGTGTTTCGGTAATGGAATGGTGAATATTCACCTACCACTATTTTTGTAATCAGTTACCAAAAGTGAGCAATTATTGAGGCATGGTGTTGCGGATTTTTCTCAAGCACTATCAAATTACTATATAGTTGAAGGTTTACATCCTCTACCAATTAATGCATTTACTTTGGTTAATCTCCTGCAGATCTGCACAATTCTTCCACTCCAGCGAAGCTGACCCTAAGGCTTCTAGTTCCAGAGGTACCTAAGCTATCACCACTACTCTCACAGCGATGGCTTCCTCCTTCACCTTGAAGTAAGGTGAAATGACAGACGATAGTTCTCTGATTGCGTGTGTTGGCACACACTGACGACCGAGCTGGCGTCATTCGTCAGCTGCAACGAACTCATTATTTAATCCAGTCGTATCATCACCTATATCGTCATCAAAACGCACACATCCATTTTTCATAGTGATTCTTGCGGTGACAGTCGTGGTTGCTGAGCAGTGCATTGGTTGTAACATCCTCACGTTTAATTCAAATTGTATGTTCGCATTCAGTGCTATCGTGCGGACTAGGCGCATGAGCACTGAGATGCGAGAATGGTTAATTACTGTTGCGAAAAGGAGCAATCGTGGAAGGCGAGAGCAACGATTCGTTAAAGCCGCAGTCATTTTCGTCCACATGCTCACTTTGATTCAGTATGCTTGCCAATTCAGTAACATAGCAATCAGTCATAATGACCATCTACTCTTTAAAACAAGGATATACGTGACCCTTTAAAATAATTTAGGACTATTCCTCAAAATGTGATTTAGGACCAAATTACACATACATGGAAGATACCACCCAAATGTGTCCTACATTGATTAAGAGATCAAGTTAGATTGCAAAGTCTGCAACACGATGCTTAGCTTTTGTGTCGTAGGTTGAGGATGGGCCTTTGAGTATTCTTTGACTGACCTGTGATGAGAAGTAGGTTTTACACCTTCCTTTCACCCCATCACATTCCGCGCACTTCAAATGCTCCCCTTCATCTCGAACTCATGCTCGTGCTAATACATTTACTCCTTTTTGTAACGCGGTGTCTATTTGTACACTAAGCATGGCCATGAACTTAAAACGCAAGTTAAAAGATGCCGATCGTGGTACTCTTGCTGATGCTGATATATAAACAGGCTGCGATCCTCAAGACTAATTCCTTTTGCCTGTCGTAGATTAGTGGGTTGTGCCGCAGAAGTGGAGTCTACAACATCACTTAAAAATGGGTGAAATGGAAGCGAATTCACTCATTCCATATTGTAAAAATGGTAAATTAGGGCAAAACAGTAGCCAAAAGGCAGTAATGCAAGGTTGGAAGTCACAGTGCACGATTTTGTGCCTGAACCACTGAAACGAATGAGCAGTGCTGTGGCAGAGAAATAAACCTCGAGTCTTTTAAAGTTTTGAATTTGAGTAAAATGTGAATTTCTGTTGGTCTAGCCTTCCTCAATTCCTGCCTTAGTGCCTTGCCAGCTGAGCCACGAGACTGAGTTTAGTGCAGCAAAATAGGTCTGAGAGGCAGGGGATAACGGTGGCTGTTGTAAGGCTTGCACTGGATTGCAAGAGCTTTTTTTCCTAATATTGTAAAAGAAACTTTTTTGTGGTCACATTGTTGTCATTGTTTGCATTGATAATTTGGATCGGCCAAACTGATGAGGGCATCGCAGCTGATGGTAATGGATTAAGGTTTGCTTGTAAGGTATCCAGATGGACTAGTCGCGTATTGTTGATAAACAGCCTGAATTTCGTGAGGTACTGTTTACAGAGGCACAAATGTACTCTTATTTTGAGGTACAAAATAGCTTTTAATTCATAATAGGACTGAAGACATGATGGTCCGAAATTCACCCCAAGTGACATAAAATGCCTGAAGTAATAAGATAGTATCTAACATCCGGAAAGTGTGATGCAGTCTGTACGTTGAAGGACTGATTTAACACAAACGTATTAGATGAAAAAGGAGAATCACTTATTTAACTCATTTTCTTCCTCCTCAGGCATTGAAACGATTGTGTTAACCGCGGTATCCAAATTGTGCTGTTTTCCAGGTCCTGACCAAAAGCGCTTGATCGTCCACCTTGCATTGCACATTACTTATTAGGATGTGATTGGACGTACAACGAAAAACACAGTCACTGGATCGAAAATCAGCCTAGATTAAGCAGGTATTTATGCCTTCTCTTAGTGTGCCTGCAGTACGTACTCTGAGTGCTTACTGGCTAATGAATGAATCACTTTACACTCCTCGACCCGAAAAGCAGTCGCAAGTGATCAGTGGAAAACAGCGCATCTAGTTGGACAAACCACTTCGACTCTACAACTCTTGGAATAGTCTTCCGTCCCTTGTGTGTTAATCAGGCGGGTTATTTCCCTACATAAGGATCTCTTTTTAACGTTTGCCCTTCACTTTAGTAAGTACGACTGCTGCTTCTTGGCATGACCTTTTTGGTATTGTCCATAAAATGTGGGTTAGAAAAGCTTTTCTATGGAGTGTTGGTATATTGATCCCATTCTCTGATTTTAACAATTCTTTTGATTACCCTTTAAGAACTATAAAGTGGTACAATAATTATTTCAACTATTCTTCCTTGCTGCAATCTAGACCTATGTTATCAACATTAGCGCATATCCCTCCGATGAGAACTTCTCTTGGAACAATTGCGATACCTACGACTGCTGATCAGTGCTGTACATATTGTTACTTTTCCTTCTCTCCCAACTAAGCACTTATAAGTTCTCGAGCGAGGCATCATCAACAGTAGTGTCAAAAAAGCTCATCTTTCTCAGATAAAGGTGACACTTCTGGCAAGGATCTTTGTGATAAGGTTAGGTTAATTAAAAGTAGACTAAATTGTATTAGGTAGACAAAGTACACTTGACATATAAAACTAAACTTTGTTCGATAGGGGCGGGAATAGATTAAAGCAAGGAAAATACCCGAACTATGAGGGACTGGCGGTAGTGATGTGCAACACGTATCGGTGAGGAATCGGGCACACACAATAATGCTATTAAGAATAGGAAAAAAAGGAAAGAAGAAATACATAAAACACCTATGCACACATGCATTGAAATCCAATGAGGCTAATCTTTTTAAGATAAAATCCTAGCAGTCTCTGTGAATCACGAAAAAGGTACAATAATCACGCACTGCAATGGAAGATCGGAGGAAAATAGAATAACAACCCTGACATAGGCTGAAACCACACACACACACCTCTACACCAAGACATGACACTGAGGAGAGCGCAAATGTAACAGTTCCTTTACTTGTGGAATTAGAAATCATTTCCAATACGCGGCGATTATATCTGCTTTCACTAGCGACTGTCCTTTCAGTGAAAATCTTGCGGACATTAATCGGAAAAAGTAGGTGGAATCGGCACTATTGATGATTCGTAGCAGGAAAAGAAAAGGAAAGTTTTTTGCAAAAGTTGACACCCGCAACAAGCACAAACATAAATCTTAACTTATAGGACTCCTAGGATCTGCTGGATATCCATTTCACCCTTATAATGTTCCAACCCTACATTTGGTAGCTTTTTTCCCATTGTACACCCATTCATTACACTGATTGCTCGTTGAGCACTAATTGGATCGTCGTGGCTGACAGTCCTTTGGATAAGGAAAACTCACCTGAATCAAGCATAAACCGTAGGATTTGAAGTCAACATAGGCTAAATATAATACAGGGACATGCCAAAGCATTCGCTTTTCTTTATATTTGGATCATCTCAGACCTTTGCACTGGTAACCCTTCCAAGGGGCGATAATAGTTTGACAAAATCTATAGCATCACAATCTTGAGATAGATAAAAATGATTAGGTTGCAGCCTTCAGGACCAGTTATTACTCGCTCTGATGCATCATGTCTTTGAGGGATGGGTGAAGCCAACACCTCAGCAGGATTTCGAATAGCTGCTACGGCTGAAGATAAACAAAACGCACTTTAGTAGGAACATACTTTGAGAGGGGCAAACCAAAAGAAGGCAGAAGATGTATACTCATTCAAACAATAGTGCGGAGAGTTACGCACATATGCGTGAGCAGCTAAAAGTAAACCACATTGGAGATTGACCAGAAACAAAAGAATGCATTTTACGGATATCGAACTGCTACCTACCTGCGCCGATATAAGCAGTGGTTGGCAATGCACCTTGCATAATCCCAATTGGGATCAACCTGGAGCAGAACTGTTGCTGTTGTTAATTCTGCAGCATAAATTGCAATTAATTGTGTTGAACTAAATCAATGGCCTCGGCTTGTGCAGTGAAAGGGAATTGCAAGGTTCCAAAAGATGCTGTTGGCCGTGGGAAAGCTATGGACTGCACAAACGCGGACCTCGTGAAAGGCCCCATCGCATTGGCCGCGATGTTAATGGACGATCTAGCATTAGCGTTTGTATCTTCATAGTCATTTGGTTACAAGGAGTCAAGAGTTACTTGAGGTGGCGAGAATGTATTAATCGAACAAACTTTCGAATGCATCAGCCAAAAGTGGTGAACAAATATCTTTAACTTGTTGCACGAGCTGCATTTGTGCAGTCGTTGTTGGACTCAGAAATGCCAGATCGGACGAGTGCATTGCCGTCCTCACTCTTGTGCATATATAAAATCTACAATAGCACTTAACCCGACAGCGACTTATTATGGCGTTATACTATTGTAAGAAGTTCTCAGTATCTACTTCTGGAACGAATATGAATATGCTGTTGATATGTACTTAAGGAGGGAATCGGGAGTATGTAGTGACCCTTGCCATTATTCATAATGGTAGTAGCCCCTACAATGGGATTCATTAAGCCATTTGTCGGTGTCACAGGGTCCTTAATTAGATGACTAGGTGTGGCAATTTGCGCCACATCCAGGGAAGATTACGCCTGGTCTTGAACTCGGAAGTGGTGGTGACACATGAGTGTTAACTTAAGGCAAGAATCCGGTTGACCCCAACTTCCTTTCAGAAAGCGCAACTGCTGCCGCATACTACACCATAGCGTCAGATCTCTATTCAAAACAATTGTTATTGACAACTACCATAATTCACAGTTACTGTCACGACCGATTTATTTTCTGGGAAATTTTCAACTGAAGGAGTTGATTGATCAGTTTCTGTTGCTTTCAGAGCGATTTTCGCTGCAACACCTTTGTTCTAAAGAAAACAGTACAAAATTAGAGAAATGGCCTCAGTGTATTAACTATCAACTTGCCGAATCCGTTAAAATGGTTACCTACTAAATAGTTTTTCATTCGTAAAAACACCTAGCAGTTCCCGTTTTCGTTGGTCAATACAAACTTATTCAAAAAATAGGGCCTAAACAAGCCCGCAATATAAACGGCAATGCTGCATCATCCACCAACAACGCGACCGTGGCCATAGATGCCTTTTACGAGGTAATGAGAATTTGACCCATGTTGGTACCAGTCTATTGCCTTTGCAAAGCAAACAGCATCACTTTAAGCTTTACAGTTTGATCCCACTGCAAAAGCCAGAACCATTGTTGTGTCTGCGCAAATCTCACATAGTCTCACGCTGCACCAACAGTTTCCCGACAATTCCAAATTCAACTAGATGGGGTTATGCTAGCAGTACCACCAGCTGCTATACTTTGATTTTTGTTGCTCACTAATTTGCGGTCAGATATCTAGAATACAGCTTAAATCCATTCATTCATTTTTACTTTTCATGGGAAAATATTAAAGTTTGCTTTAAATAGACATCCGCATTCCGTGATTCCTTACACAATCATATGCTCTTAATTTCCTCTCATGATCCCAATAGTCATGCAAAAGAAACTTTAAAAATTATTTCTCATAAGTATAATCTGTAAATAATTTCGGTTCTTCTACTGTACCCAACCAGATCTTTGTCCAAAATTCCCAATGTTTGCCCGTGTTCGAAATCTAAATTTGTAAAATGGTTTTAAACGTCAATAGATGGAAAGCTGAAGCACATCTTTTGACCGTTCCCTTGACTTCACAAATTGAAAACTGAGGATCATGTTGGGCTTAAGGAAGGTGTTAACGAGTGGAATCGTCATCGTTATTAACTTCGTGCGCTCAAATGCAAACACAAGCATGATTGTATGTTATTTAGTCTACTTTGATGTTAAACAGTCTTAGTAGGCTTGAATGAGATAGGTAATTTAACAATTGCTCAATGATTTGTGTAATTAAGATCTACGATTTATTTTAGTCTGCTCATATTTGACGACATTTCGTGTAGAGTTCCAACCTTGGAGAAGAAGAAGTATTTCGAATGTTGGGCCTCAACCTAGATGTTTGGAGTGAGAAGCTCACCACATGATACTAATAAACACTGCCCAACTCTAAGTACATCATTCTGTCAGGGCCGTAATTAACAAGTTATAAATTTACTCCTGATTTAAGCATAACAGGAACATATTTAATGACGAATTTGTAATGGTGAAATATTTTCCTGTGATCTGGTGACGTCAGTCATTGCTTTCATTCATGTTCTTAGTAATTATGCTAATACTTCAGTTATTTTAACTTCCATCAACTTATTAGTAAAAAATAAATTAAATTAAGAAATGTTCCTCCACACCAACCACTTTTTATCCCTCTTCTTTGAACTTTCTTCTGTACTCAGTCTCTTCAACATCTTGTCTCCTCACCCTCATTTGCCCATAGGTGTTACTTCTGCTCTTCCTATTCTCCCTTCTCTCCTTCACCAACCTCCAAATGCTACACGATTTACTCAGCAATTACTTTCGTCAGCCCTTTTGTTAATTCTTCTGTAGCTTTCATTCCAAAGTCTCCTCTTCGTTGCTCACACAGTCTTGCCGTCACTGCTACTTTTTTCTAATTTCCACCAACTCTATCTGCTCCCAGCTTTATTTGCCCCACCCTTCACAATTTCGCAAATCCATTACCATCGTATCCTCGATGAAACAGAATGACTCCAAATAATCATTGAAATTGGCATATCGAGTATTATTACGTAGAGGGCAGTTGACACATTTGCCGTTCGCGTAGTTAATGGATCTCATAGGCAAGTGTTTTCACCAAAGGAACTGCTTATTTATCTTTCTTACTCAAATGTGTCAGGGCTATTGTTCTGCGAAGGCAATCTGCTGTAGTTCCTACCAATTTTTCCTCTCATTTTATTGTTCTTGCGGAAAAATCACTTAAAATTTTTGCAATATCATTACAAAAAATAACAATAAGGGAGAATAAACATTCTAAGCAATAAACAACTGTATCAGCTCCTGATTTTTTGAGAAGAGAAACCAAAATGAAGAGCTGTAGAATGCCTACCTAATTTGATTAGCAGTTGACTGAGAGAAAACAATCGGTAGAAACTACAGTAGATTGCGTTTACAAAACAATAGCCTTGATATATTCGACTAAGAAAGATGAATAAACAGTTCCCTTGGTGAAAGCACTTGCCCGTGAAATCCAATGACCATGTTACTGGCAAATGCGTTAACTGCCTTTTATGTAATAACTCTCAATGTCATTTTTAATGATTATTCAAAGTAATTCCGTTTCATCGACGATAGGTGAGTAATGGATTCAAGACATTGTAAAGGGAAGGGTAGGGGAAGTGGGGAAGCAGGTAGAAATAGTGAAGAAAATCGAAAAAGTAGCGGTGATTATAAGAATGTGTCAATGACGAAAAGGAGACTTTGGAATGCAAGGTACACATGAATTAGCAAAAATTCTGGAAGATATAGTTTTTCCAATTGTGTTCCTTATGCCAATAGCTAACGCCCTGGTACTAAGAATACGCTATCTTCCACTCCTCTTGGCCAGCAATGCAAGGCAAATCATTTTTCTATGCTCTGTCATTGCAGAAACGGTTGATTTTTCCAGGGCAAGCGTTTTAATTACAATGATCGTGTACTATCAATTCCGCATTTCCAAACTTAATGCTAACCGCTGTTAGGCAAGGGACAAGCGATAGCGAGGCAAACGAAGCTTGTAATGTAAACGGCATTGTAAAGTCTTCCAAGATTACACTTGGTCACCATTTGTACGTCATTGTTCACCTTGATGGCAGCCATTTCGGCTGCTTAAGGGGAACCATTTCGGGTGACATATTAACTTTAGAAGAAATATAGCACCAATTTGCATGTCATGATTTTAACAGTGAAATCTAATCATTATTGGTGGGTGTAGTGATGTAATATGATTTCTAATAGAGTTGTAGCATCATTCCCCTCGGTTCCTACTCATCTTGTCACCACCAGCAGTAGATGTTACTATCAACATTCACGTTACTGTTTATCCGCGCCTAGGGAAATTGCATAAAGTCATACCGTTCATGTAGCCTGTCTACGCAACTATGTAGCTCTCAAGAGACTATTAGGACAAACTATTGTGTCCCTCCTACTGTCCACACTCCATCGTAAGGTAGTTTCTACGCTTCAAAACTATGCGATAGTATCTCAACTGATAGACAGCATTTTAACACTGCTGCAGAGCAAGACAAACCTACCTACTTTGGGACAACTTTGTGATCAAAACAGACCTTTCTACTTTGCAATCTCGAACAACCTTGAACCTCTATTGCTAATGGAAAAGAATCCTTATTCCAAATCAGCAAGCAATCTTTCCATTATTTGATCACAACGAACCGATAAGGAAGGTGCAGCAATTTGCCTTGTATCCAACCTCTTGTAATACGCCACATAATCACTAAATATATATGAAAGCTCATGCAATCTAGCTTCACGGAGTGCAGCATTATTTCTGCTGGCATATTTGATGCAGTTCTTCACCTGACCAGATCCCCAGCTCATCTCAACGGTCGATGGCTGCAACTGTGTCCTTTCAAGAGCATTTGAATGATGCAAAGCGTGAGCTCTTTGCATTACGTCATCATGTCTACAACGTTCGATTTGTATCCTTCCAGGCCAAAGGGCACTAGCCCATCATTGTCCACTACTGTTATCATTTAAGTAAGGCTAGAACTCCATAATCAAATTAAGGGAAAACCATCTATCATTTTTACAAAATTATATCAAGCAAGGTTGTTAAGCTAAAAAATAGTGATTAACCACTCTTTCTAATGGTTCTAGTTTGAATTATGCCTTAAAAAGTTGAACAGTTTTGCTATCTACACCATTGCATTGTCTTTTAAAACATTGGGACTTCACGTTAACGTAGGCGAAAGGACAGCCATTATCCCATTGTGGCTTGACGTTTCATGACCTCGAACCACGGAGATGGCCCCACAGCCGAACTCTAGACGCCTTAGTTAAGCCTTGCCGATGGATTTTGTATTGAAGTAAACATTTGGTAAAGGAAAGGCATGCCACTCAATCTGCGTATAACACAGCCTAATTATTGTATTCGATCCTTCACCTCAACAGAAGTCGACGTTGCTGTTATTTTATCCTCTTTAATCGTTTAAGTGCGCTTGGACTGCTGTTCTTATAAACAAGGCCTAAACAGGCAGAATTATGGTGCCATCTTTAACTTTCCAGTTCTTTTCATTGGTATCACTCAAATGAGACAGAGCGACTAACCCGATTGGATCGCGAATGTTTTTCATGAGCTTCAAGATTGTTCCAGTATACATTTAGCTACAAAGGCACGTAAGTATTTTATTTGGTTACCAAACCACACCTGAAGCCACCTTTTGTCTTTGTTGATTAATATGGACCCTACGCCAGTGTATAGCGGCCATCATACAGGCGTATTTATAATTTGGACCCACTCTCGTAAAGAAGGAGGTAGCAAGAACCCAAATGTGCGCTTTGCCGTAACCATCGTTGCCATCTCAATCTTTCAGGTGGAGATTAAGGAAGATAGTACGGAGAATCCGCATTCTGACCCATTCTTATTGACAAATGCAAATCGTATCATGTATTCTTCAACCCCACTTTGAGCAGAGTTATGCAGTGAGCATATTCCCCACGTCTATCAATTGCTTTCTTAATTCGTAAGTTTTCTTACGAAATTTTTCAATTTGTGGCACAGATCAATGGATTTTAGAAACTTGAATAACTGTCCTCTTGAAATCATTTTCTTTTGCATAAACCACTTGTTCCTTCATCATTAATTAAGCCATGGACCGCAAGATTAGGATTTTTGAATGTACATGTGCCAATTTAGGCTCTCTGAGTACCGTCATAAGTAACAAAACTTAAACTAGGTTGATAAATATGTTTTGTTGCCTTCGGTTGCTCAAACATCTAATTCTCTGGGGTACTGATTCGCCCATCATACAACAAGCTCGGTGCAAACCACACCAAAGCGAATGCGTAAAAGCACATGAAGACTAGCTTTAGACCTTAGTCTAAAGTATTATTGCGTTAACACTGTAACGAACGAAGTGTCATGGCATTTCTTTTCGTGTTTACCATTTCCATCTGGAGTCATCGAATTTTTGTACACTTTATCATCAGTCTTGGCGGCTTATTTTTGAATGCGGTCTTTTCTTGCTGCGTCTTTTGTGGGAATCTACGACATTTTCACCATGCTTTATGTCGACAAGTCTGAGATGACTCTCAACAAACATGCTGTTTTACGTTCTGCTGATGCCACGAATTCCAAACATTCTTTCCTTTTACCTACGACTTTTTAATGCTTTTTGTGGTAGATCTTGTTTTGTACCTATTTTAACTTCAAGATGGCGTATTCGAAAGTTCTTTAGACACCATAAGAACCGGGAAGCTGCCCGGTCTTAGTGGGCATTATCTACTTTCTGCGAGCTCTTAAGACCATTTTAAGTGCCTTTTCATCTAAGACAAGATGATTAGCATTTAAATGTTCGTCAAAAAGGCGTCGGTCTTTCGAATGTAACATCGTATAATCTGACAAAACGGAATAGCAAAATAGGCCATGGGATACCTACATTTAACTGATCTTCCTAATATAGATTTCCAAGTAGGACAATCTTTCAGCCTCACTGACAGTATAAAATAGTGGGTGCCTTTAAATACCCACAGAAGTTCTAGTGATAATAGCTCCCATGTGTCTACAGACCCTTAGATCAAGGCCTTTTACCTTCAATGCTAACGCCATTTCCTGCTGTTTTGCAAGTAGATACAACCAAAAAAATACTACATGACTTTAGTTTTTTAGCACACCTAAGATCAAAACCACGAGGAACAGCTTTAGTTCCTGTTTTAGACGTATTGACCTTCCTCAGCCAATTTTGGGAACCACGACAAACGTTTTTGCTTGCATGGGTTCGATCAGGCATTTCGAGTCTTGCTAAAATTATGCTAATACCAGTCATTGATGAGCAAATCCCATTTGATTCTCGGTGCCAAGAAAAGGGCCCTATTCAAAGGTATATCTCCATCACAAATGACGACATGGCCAAAAAATTTTACTGCACCAATCAGATGTTGCAGGTGTGAAAACGAAATGTAAAGAACCCGAATGGTTCATCGTTTCATGCTCTTAGCAGAACAATCGTGGCTTCTAACTGTTAAGTTGAGTGTATTTTCACTTTAAAACATTGTTAACTTCCGCCTTCCTTTCAACCGGTACACATCATTTTAATCACATTTAATAGGGTACGGCAAAGGTTTTTAATTTATAACATGTTTCCCAATTTGATTTTGCGAATGAAATATAGTAAAGCTGGAAAATTTACCTTTAAGGCTCAGTTTAAATAGAGTCATCTTGTACACTTCTTCCATATTTATATTTCAAACCTAGACTATAAAATTAGGAGTAATTTTGTTGTAAAAAGCACAGTTCCGACCCATAATCCCTTGTCAAATTAATCAGAAGTTGCTTCTTCCCTCAGTGCTTCCATGCTTAATATTACCAATTTTTAGGTGTAGCCTTTCTAGGTAATAGAAAGCAGCATCAGTTCCTTGTTTGAATCATCCATCTGGCTATTTAAAGGTCAAAAATGTGTAAAACTGAACAATACCTCTCGGAACGTAAGGCTGAAGGCTCCGTGCGTTGTAGGACATGGTTACTAGGGTCAAGTACTTACTCAAAATTACCCTTTACTTGGTGGCTCTCCTCCTGCATATCTATGTGGAAAATGAGGGGAATCGCTCCTCGTCTGCACAAAGTATTACAGCGCTTCCACCACGAGAACCAACCAATGATCTTTAGACTGCAATTGCTTTGCACCCAAGTTTGACAGCCAATAAGTGGGCCTATTACACTTGGCAGGTAGTCAAATGAAGTAGGCTGTGGGTTGATACATTCAATCCTTCCAAAGAATTCAACTTCATTGCTAGTTGTCTGACTCTGAGCTGCTTACAGAAAGGAAGAAGAGCAAAATGAGCAAAACTTACCATGCTTGATAGCTTGTAAATCTGATTCTGCCTGTGGCAGACACCTTACGCGATTGATAACCACATGAGACTTATCTTCGTCCACATCGGTGACTATTGTCAGGAAGGTCTCTCCAAAGTGTAAGTACTACAATGTAGTCCTTTATTACTCTGTTGATTGTCCAAAGCTGCAAATTACGTAGAGCATTTTCTTCCAGTCACGAAATCTCTTGCAATTTGGTTACCTCTGAAGTAGTACATTTACTAAAATTTGAATTGATACCCTAAAGTGAGATTCGATTTGACAGAGAGTTGTAAAGGCATGATCACCTACAATAGTGAGTTAGGGATGCATTAGACCTCCTCTTCTTTTTTTACCCGCCCACAAGTTTTCCTTTTTTAAAGTGGTTAGATAGTAGCAGACAATATTGTTTAAAGATTAAAATGACTTTACGAGTGAATACACATTCTTTTTAATTAAAATCAAAACAGGCCACTTTGGGAATCTCTGAGCACAGACTCTTAAATTTTTACACGTTTGTAAAACAAAGTTATCAAGGACTCGATTGGGCAAAGGTGTAAGCTGTAGTAACTGACCTCGATAATAGGGCACGTTTACTGTTTATCTGGCACCATCAAAAGCCGTGTAGCTTATTTATCTGAAAAATTGCTCAATAATTGCAAACAATAATATTTCTTTTTTCTACTTAGCTCTTCTGGTGCATCATTCATTTCTCATTGCATTTATTATCTGTTGCCTTTGATACTTTAGAAGGTAACAAAATTTTCACCGTATGTGCGGTACCCCGACTTTTTGGCATTCTTAGTCGGTCACTGCTGGATGGCAGAAAATATGTTACTAGCGTACAGAAGGGCTGTGGCTACTAGTATGGCTCAGAGACCACGCTGTATGTCAGGGGGAAAATCTGTGAAGAACCAAATGTCTGTGTAATCAATTGTAGATTGTAAGTTTATTGTGCTCATCGACCTTAGCTGATGTCGTTAGAGCTGAATGAAGTTGTCTTCTTTTAAGGCAAAATTATTATAAAAAGGAACCGCAATTTGAGAGGATGTCACGTGGCCTTGGAAAACTCGGAGGGATTGACATTAGGCAACCTTTGAGTATGATGATAGGTAAAATAGCGAAAGCAGCTGAATTTTTTCTTACTTTGTCCGCATGATTAATGTTGTTTCCTACACATGATTTTGGATAACTTATTTGCTCATCTTGCATCATTCCCTAAGATACTTTGAAATAAACTCTCACTACTTAATTCCCAGCAAGTATTTTAATTTCCTATGTGTGACGTAAGCTGATGGTTAATAAATGGAAAAGTATTCGTTGTCATAATTATGCACTTTAAGGACAGGTTTGCTAGCATTCGCATGTTTGGTCATTATCTCGGTGTCGCTGACATCAGGCTTATGTCTGTTGCCCCTACTGTAACTGTACGTTAATTCTAGAGCTTCTTTTTTAGTGTTTCATCGCACCGCATTCTCAAGGATGACTTGATAACAATAGATAAAGAATCAGTTTAAGGTGCTCAGTCTTTCGGCTTCCATGTACAAATGCTAAATCTAAGCCTAACAAAATGCAAACGTCGCATTCAGACATTTAACCACCATTTGTTCGGTGATAAGAACCTAAAGATGCCTGTGTGTGAAATACATTTACTTTAACTTCGTATCTTAAAAACTCTGATTCTTGCATTTTAGTAATATTTAAAAATATTCAGAAAGTAAGAGTAATTAAATGCAGAGTGATAGTAGTAGATATTATCGTCCTCAGTAAAACATGTGCAATAGATGTCAAATAGACGAGGCTTTAACGTCATATAAAGTAGCTTTGGCTTAATGGTCAAGGGAAAACTACTTCAAACAATCAGTTAACGACAAGTGACTTTCTCATCCTGTTCAATAAATGATTACAAAAAAATTTGCAATCAGCTTCAAATACACTTCTACATGACTACCACAAATTCCACCGCTTAAGCGCTGGATAACTTCAGCGCTTCGTAGACTGTGTTTGTGTAACCACATCCTTCCAACTTCCTCTTCTTCCTTTTCTTCTCATTCCAGTCAAGCCCGTCGCTACTTTATATACGATAATTTTAAAGACGAGACAACGCCTTTTATCGTGCCTCTTATGCATTGCAAATGTTATATTGGTGGTCGAATCATGGGTTACCTCTCATACGTTTCTGTTCTCTTTCCTACACTGACCTGGCTAAATACTTGCACACATCTAAACTTTTTACGTCTCATCTCAATTCTCGTCAGTTTTACTTCGAGAATAACAATGCGTAACTAAACTGCTATGTAGAAGGAGTAAACTCTTAAAACCTTTTGCATTAAAAAGCAATTTTAATTAATTCGGAAATGCTTTACTTGTCACCCACAACCCTCCCTAGTCTGGACGAGAGTTGATTTTATCCATACGGCTCTACACATCACACGATTGAAGAGAAGTTTAATTAGTCAACTTTCAGGACCACATTCTTTTCCCTTTCTTAGCATTTCTTTTTACATAAACGCAATTAGGTAAGCTGGCGTTATGTTACAGGTGAGTACAGATTGCGTATTTTACTTTAATTTGATTGAGATGCAGAAAAAAACACTAGATTTAAAATGTGGCATGCTCAGACTAAGGGTATCACGACATAATAAACCAAAATAGCAAAGTAGTACTGGAGTCGTGTTGTAAAAGGAGATGACAATCATAAGTGGGGATGTGGTGATCAGATGCAAAAACATCTGGCACGGAGGACGGACGAGTGGTGGAGGTAACAGTTATGACGTCACATCTTCGTGCTGGCACTTGGACGGCATGCCAGGTGGGAGAGGCGCTGGGAGCGAAAACACGTGCGAAGTCATGACTTGACCCCCCATGTGTGTTGACCCTGTCGGAAAATGAAACGGTCACGCACATCAACGGTTTGGTCAGGGTAACTTTTTGCCACAGCTGTGGACTTGGTTTAAGTGAGTTAGGGTGGGGAGTTTCACGTCACAATGTTATACCTCCAGTAGTATTTTGAATTTGTTTATTAGAATTGTAGTTTTTGGAGCTTTGATGCAAACTGAATGTTCTCGATACACAGGAAAAGGTGTTCATCAGAGACATTAAACAGAAACAGCCTGCCCCAAACGAAGTGTGCAGACGGATAAGAGGAGCAGCGGCCTAAATTCCGGTTAGTGCACAGTGGTAATTTTCAAAGGAGGATCAGATACTTACTCCGACAAACCTCAAAAAATCGGGTGTGTTTTAATTTGCATGGACTACTGTGTGTTAATGATACTGATAGAGACTTTCCGGTATCAGAGGAAGCTTCACAATCTAACAAAGCAGGTGGACAACTCCAGTACAGTGATGAAGTGGTAATAGGCGCCATGGATTTTGATTTCTCTGGATCGAAATAGCCAGATCCATGACTCCCTCAATTGATTTAACCTTCATATGCTACTATGGTGAGAATTGTGGAGTAATTATTTGACTTAGGGAAGTGTACTTCGAAAAAAAACAGAGATGGACGCGCACGACTGCATTAAAATGGGTCTGACACCTTTTAAATGAAAAATATGGTGAGATCGCATTCGGAATGTTTTCATGAAATAATAGTCCCTGTGTTGTGTCTACGTTATCTAGTTATGATGGCGGTGACTTTAGCTAACAGAAGGCGGCAGATATCAAGATGGATTTTGGATATCAAAACACCATGTCCATATTTAGTGGACTCTGAAGGGGCTGAAATGGAAATGATTTGAAGGTTTGGTAAAGTACTATGCAAAGTATGTGCTGATGTAGGCCTTGAAGTTTTAGGTGCATTCGCGTTGGGCAGGTAGATTAGGTCTGTAAAAACAAACCTATTTGCTCATTTTGCCGCATGGAAGATAACTTTGTGCTTCAATGTTTTACGCTGAGGAGCGTTGTGTTTAAATGACGAAGCTCAAAGTGATGCCCCTTTTATTTTATTTTGGGCGATATGAGCTATAGCATGGAAGAATTGACTGGTGATTGGCCGCTCTGTCGTCTGAATAAAGGTCAACCTGCCGTCGTGTATCCATACCTCTTCATGGTCGGACCCTGTTCACGGCATCTCCCATTCATACAAAGTGAGTTGGCTGTATTTACTCACTCGCGTGCTGTGATTAGTTTTAAACTTCGTTGCAATTAAATGCATCTGCAAAGGAAATTTCTTTCAAGAAGTGTAGTCCAGTTGGCTAAATATTAATTTGCCGATCCCCGCTTTGGTCTGATATGTTTTGGAAGCTTGAGGGCAATTCTTTTATACGTAGTTCAAATACTCGGCTTCGAATTGTGCTAACTGGGTTGGATTAAACAAAGATAACCCTAGGAGCAGCCAACTGCGATGAATTGTTTACACCCCAGCCTAACCTGAGAAACCATCAGCGTGCCAGTTAACATCTGTGGCTTCCCCCTTTTGGGTAGCCACATACCGTTGCCTCACACCTGGATACGACTTGACATTCACTCGTGTCACGGATAGAGAAGCTGAAGTAAGGACATATTTAGTCTTGATGTTACGTTCAATTCCCTTGTGAAGGCGCCAAAGACATAACTACAGTAGTGAAACAGACGGCAAAAAAGCCTTTCTACTAAGGCAAATATTAATCAAAGCATCCTTCCCCTCTGACGCCATCTCGTCAGAAATGTCACTCACTTAACGAGTTTGTGGCATTGTAAAACAAAAATCTATTTGACATGCTTTATTTCAAGTGCTAAACAGTCAAAATAAGGTCTTAGATATGAAGTTGACCTCTCCTAAATGTCTACTAGTAGATCAGATTATCGTGACGATGCAATAAAAGTTGCAAGGATGTGAATTCATCTAATGTAACGGTATCAAAACTACCAAGTGAATGCAATGAAATTTTAAAATCAGCTGTAAAACCCATTCTAAAGGTGGTAGCCTGTATCAAGAATAAGGTATTAGACTTGAAAACTAGAAGGGTTGGACTTACAACTTGATAGATTTGTTGTTTGAGGATTTGGAGAAAATGGTAAGGATAAGGCATGAAGTCACTCTCAAATGGCGATCGCAATTCTATTCTCACTTCAGTCGCTACCTCTGGATCTAAAAGTAGATAGATTTCTAGTAAATTACTCATTTTCCACAATCATCGTCGTTTTTTTCTTATGCTCTGGTCTATACGGTGAGTAAATGTTGATACCACATTGACCATCTAGTACATTCAAAGTCACAGTCACATTTTACAATCTTGAATCACGCCAGAGGAATTGTAGCAATCTCCACATGTTCTAGCTCCGAGTTAAAACACAAGCAACTTTGATCCCATAAAATTATTCATTCGCATCAGCCAGTTTAACGTTCTGAAAGGTTATCTGATGTCAAATCATCAGGTGGCCGACACGCAAATGACAGATAACACTCTTCTTATTTAAAAAGTAGAAAGATTGTGCAAAAGCTGCATATATTTAAGCCAGACATTCACTATGAAGTAGACGAGTGGGAAACAGATACTTTAAAAATATATAACGAAATCTTTGAGTCGGTTGAGTCCAAAATTTGGCACAAAAGTAACTCCAGCTCTTCATCTTAAAAGATTGAGTCGATGATGTTGAGGTCCTATGCTCTGTTCACAGTAGACGTGGTGGGGGCATCATTCGTAACGGTGGCTGCAGCAGTAGTGGAAAATGGGCACTTTTCCATGTGTCGAATGAGCAAACTGCGGCGCGTGAATGATCGGAGACAGTGAGGACAGCGACAGCGCTTCTCAGCCATATGTGTCTGCATGTGCATCCGCATGTTCGACCGATCGGCAAAGCCACGTCTGCAGACGGGACAGATGAAGGGCTTTTCGCCTGTGTGCGTGCGCTCGTGACCGTCAAGGAGCCACTTGCGTGAGAACGCCTTATCACAGAAGTGGCATCTCCACTGGTGTGAATGACTTCGCTTATGCATTCGCAGACAGGCAGAGCTGTTGTACATCTTTCCACACTCCTGGCATTTCCATTTCGGTAGCTCTTCCTCATCCACTCCTATATCTTTCACCTCACTAGTACTTGTGATACAGCTGACGCTGTCATTCGTCTCACCATTGGTAGTGTGTTCTACGACTTTGATACAAGAAAAATTTGAAGCATTATCAGGAGGATTGACAATACTTGTGTTTGTGATTGGGCTTAGCATATTAAAAGAGGTTGCTGACAGCAAGTAATTGCACCAAGAAAGGTAATTGGAGGTTTCCAGATAGATTCCACCAGGCTGCAGCGGCAGAGAGTAAGGCTGGATTTGGGTAGGTAGTATTGTACCGTAATTGATGGGTGGGCTACATAGCAGGGGTAACGTTTCCATTCGGTTAACTGAAGAACCGCAAGATGTGGTCAAAGACTGGACGGAGGGAAGAGTGGACCAATCTGTCACGAGGAATTTTTCACTACATCCACACTCAAGTTGTAATATTGACGATGCGTCAAAACGATCTTTTGAATTAGTGGATGAAATGCTGGAAGAATTCACTGCTGCAGCAGACGATGATGATGAGAGTATAGAAGCCATGTCAAAGGACTTGGAGTGTCTCGATCCGCAATTATATATAGTTTCATCCTTAGTGTTTGAACTGGATGGCTTTGGAAATACCTGTGTTGTAGGTGACAGCTTCAGTATGTGTGCTATGGAAAAGTCTGAGAGAGGGAATAAATTTTAATATTATTAATGCAAGAAATATGCTCTTGATCGACACGAAAGCAGCATAAATGTCAGTTAAGTGCAAATGAAATACATCTCACCGTATTTCATGGTTAAAGGGACCTCAGACATCAGCTGTGAATCATTAACTGACCTTTTATAATGCATACCCTAATCTCATTGGCTTAGGCTCCTACGACTCATTGGTCAATAGTGAGTAAAAGAGATTAGCGAACACGAGGAATGGTAAAGATCGAGAGGTGCTGCTTTTTTAATAAGGGAACCTTTTCACATTCCCTTGTGATTTAAGCGATTCCGATTCATATTCTATTGATACTTCGGCCTAGATATTCCAGATTTAATTGTCGTCACAGGAAATTCCACTTATACATTTGGCTTATTTTTTAGGTCTTTACACTAAAGAGACTGGATAATATGTTTCATTTACTTTCTTGCTTTATCAACTATAGCCTTTGCAGAGTAACACCATAGTCGAATGTTCGCCTCTAAATTGCGTGGAATCGCAGACTTAGGTGATTACGATGATAGAGACAAGGCAGTAGTCATGCCTTGAGGTGAATCTCAATGAAGTGAAACCTCTATTCTAGCACTCATCTTGTGCTTAAAAGAAAATCAAAAATTGCGCCATCTTAAGAGGTTTAGGAGCATCCGCGGTTGAGAGGTGTTGCATAGTGTACATTCAGGATAAGATTTTGAGTTAGCGGTGTCTTTTTTCTAGGCCTGACTAATCAGGCCTGCGGTTAGAAATCTCAGCTCTTCGTTGACAACATTGCCATTGCTTCTAACTTTGGCAGGAGTCCATCCATTCTTAATTGCAGCTGTTGGCAAATTCTTCCGATAGCAGTGATGGCAGCGGTGATGGGGGAAGAGGCGAAAGTTGGAGCATAGATGGAGAAGGAGAGAGAGAGAAAGAAGTAGGTGGAGTTTAGTTTGTGAACTTATCGAAACAGTGCTCAGTTGGTTGCATTCTGCAGCACTCAAATTCTCCATCTCTCTTGACTTCGTCTTACTCGCTGCCACATCGGCCACGCGGATTATAAAGATCGTTTTGCTGCTCAATTCTGTTTCCTGATCCCGTCTTCTGTTACAGCTTCAGAGATTCGGGCCCTGTAGTGACACAAGATCTAATGTAACAGCACAGAAATAAACGCACTAATTTGATGCGGTGACTTAAATGGAAAGATTTATTACAGCTGTAATTGTTCTAATCGCAGCAGTGAATAGTTTTTCTATCCTCGCTAATGTCTAGTAAAAATGCTTCCCAGGAATATGAGAGAATCCATCAATCTGAATAGCACTCCTGTAACCAGGTTTCCATTCTTAATCCCACGTACAAGTTAATAGTCTCATTGGCGGCTTTCCGTCTTAAGCTATAATCCGTGCTATAGAAAGGCTAGGACATCGTCGGCTTTCCCGTTGTTGAATTTATTTCCTCACCTTTAAGGGTTGGTTGCTTGATTAGGCTCAGGTTACCATGACAATGCAGCATACCTTGTCCATCGGTTGGTGCACTGAGTAGCGTGGCTCGCCTGTGTGACACCACGGGCCAATCAGAAAGAGCTTTTTGCCCGATGTGTCGCGCTAAATGATACGATTGGCTAAGAGGTTAATATTAGCATCAGTAGCTTGATTGGATGGCAAGGCCTCAGTAGCAGCATAGCGGGTGCATAATCATAGTTGCAAGTAAAACAAATCCAGGCGATTTGGGATCTTTAATCGTGTTTGCCACTGATTATCTTTTTGCAATTATATTCAACAAGTATTTTAATGTGTGGGCAAATCATGCATGCTAAATGCTTTTTTGTTAAATGAAAATGTATAAATGCTGACTAGTAAAGTGAAAATCATATTCGATTAACCCAAAGTCACTTCAAGAACCTGTCAAATGCTATGTTCTTTAGTGTATACTCACCACAGGCGCAAACTCTTAAAAAAATTGTGTATAAAACCATCCCCTCAGTATTCAGTGTTCCAATATTTGATCACAATGAGAATTTGTCGACTAGAGTAGTTGCACTAAAAAGGAGAAGTGAATCGTAGAAACAGGTGGGCTCTTCAGATATTGCCAGTTGCCGTTCATTTTAGATTAAATCTGAAGCGCTTTCCTCCCACCGTGTAGCCGCACACAGTTATGATGTTACTTGTGCTTTGGGATCAGCGTAACTAGCGAAACCCAGAAAAAGGGAGAGGCGCATTTATGTCAGCCACGAACATTGAAGAAGAACATAAAATCCTTTAACACAGGCAAATATGTACTTTAACTCAAAAATTTCGCCTTAATACGTAATTACAGCTGTTGTAAATGTACTTTGGTAAAGGAATACGAAATGTGGAAAATGAGGAGATTGATCCCTTTCGCATCAACTGGGCCCTTTTTACGATGGTTTGATATTATCACCGTTTGATTAAGACCAAAAATACGTGTTTCCTAAACAATGGTGAGGAAAGGACATTGTGCTAACAATTAGCCAGTGCAGTCATGATTGATTACGAAAAGCGACTACCTAGTTTTTGGTTTCCCTGCTCTTTGACACAATCGTAGCCTCCAGCTAGTAGGCATTCTAATCAGATGATTTGGGATCATTTTACGCTATCTCAATCAAAGTAGCAACAATATGGTACTTTGGCATGCGTTATCTAAAAATAAAATTCTTATTCTTTAGTATACTTTTCCTAGTGATTTAAGAAGGTAATTTAACCACTGCTCAAAAGGTGGCAATGCCCAACACTGGTCGTGAAACGCCTGTAGAACCCAAGGGCTCAATCTAATCAGTTCTTATCTTTCGTAATGTTTCATTAATGTGGATTTATTCCAATGGCTTCGACGATTCGAAATGATTGTTTATTCTAAGGTATATGCTGACAGATTCGCAGGTCAAATAAAATATTTTGTCATGTGTTTGAGAATGCCTGTAGGGAAAGTTGCAAATTACGAAAGTAGCTGATTGACATGGAGAATATGCTTGGTATTGAGCGTAGTAATGTGTGGTGGGTGAATGGGTGTTCAAATAAGTTAACAGACCTGAACGCCAGCCCTGTGTTTGGCTGGCCACAATCACCATTCAGCAGTTGAACGGCAGCGTTGTTTACAGCTAAACACGTATTTACGTTCATGCTACCTCCTGCTCCACAAAAGTGCATTCAAACTGTCAATGTGCTTGTTTGATGGCTATCTGTGAAGACACAAGATAGCATAGCAAGTAGCTGCAACGTCAAAACCAATGCACGGACCTACGTGTCTAGATGACCATATGCACCAATCAAATGCAAGCTAAACTCACTTTCTGTTTGTCCACTATTTAATTGAGCTAGTGTTTTTGTCTTGCCTGATTGTAATAAAAAACCAAAATAATGTTTTAAAATTGTGAAACATGAGTTTTTTGATATAGCCATAGCATCCCAAAAGTCATTAATGTTATCTACTTTCTTCATCCTAGGGAAGCATGATCATGTCCCAGCTGATTACTCACTGCGTCTTCACACTCATTCAATGGCGAGTTGCAACCTCCATAGAAATGCATTTAGGAAGGGATTTAAAAGAATCTCAGTGCCCATTACCAAAAATGTCTACAGTAATTGGTGCTTAGCTTAGGCGGTGAAAGCTAATAATAGCTGTATCTGGTGCATAGAACAATGCCTTAAGTGATGCAAATTTCTAACGGTTCAGCTAAACTGTGAGGTGTTTATTTCAACAGCGTAACTATGCATATCTGCAACTACAATTTGTGCTTTTCTGAGATTGGCGTAGCTAACGATGCTTAATAAAAGTGCCAGATACATTTGGAATAACCACGTACGTCAAAAGTAGAAGGTAACATCGCTAAACTCAAGCACACACCAAATGATATGCTTTGCCTTATGTTTCTGACAAGACATCGTAAAAACCAATGTCCTAGATACATTTTATGAAAGCGGAATGGGTGATGCAGATTAAAGAGTAGAGTGCAACCCACTGAATTGAGTATAGTGGGTCAAGCAATTTGGTTTCCAGGCTTTGTCATCCATAGCACTATCTTGTTACCGCTATAGTGGGTGCAGCATTGAATAAGACCGTGTCATCTGATTAGAGCCACAGATCATCCTGACAGCCGGATTTTGTGAATGTGTCAGTATGTAAGTATGGAGTGATCTATATTTCTTTGTCGTATGTACATTTTCGGATTGCAGTGTTAAATGTTGCAATTCAGTCTTCTGGAAGGAGATCTAAGGCATTTGAGCATAGAAACAGCGCTTTGATCCGTTCACGTCAGAAAATACTCTCTATATCAGTCAATAAGCAAATGCTATTGTAAATAAATCAAATCTACGCCAAACGGCCTACTAATTAAGCATGGATTAATAATATCTGAAATCCTTCAGAAAAAAACAAGTAACCATCTGCAGTCAGTTACCCAATTTCCACTAAATGGGATTGCATTTCACAGAGCAGTCTTCAAACTAGTCCATAAAAGGTGTCACATTTTTCAGAATCGAAAATCTCGTTGAAATGATGACCCCCAACACACACACCTGGGGTATCACGCAAACAATTGAAAGGGAATCACTTGCTTTCATTTTTGTGGGTAGAGTTAGATAGAACATGAAAGTTGGTAGGATTACTAAGCGAAAGGTGCATAAATTTGTCTGTGATACCATTTGTACCTGTGATATCCTATCACTAAAGATTGGTTAAAGACCCTCATTAATGGGAATGAGGAGCTGCCGGTAGTGATCCTCCTGTTTCAACACAAGACACCTTTCACTAAAAGGCTATATTTTTGTAAGCAAAAGTCACTCTGCTTCCCATTTTGGCCATTTGCTCAGTTTCTTGCCCTTGGAACAATCATTTCTCATTACTAATAAGATGAGGGTCCTTAACTAAATTTGTGTCCTCAAGACCGATAAAGTACACTTTCTTGCCATTTTCAAGAGGCAAATATATCCATCAAAAAAGACTTTAACAATTAATAAATATATTTGGAGATGTAGCGAGACGAATTTCCTAATAACCCACCTTTTATTATGCTCCTAACCAACTATTATAGCCTTTATTTTCTTACGGTAAAAGATTGCAAGGTGAGATTTTCGAATATGGAAAAAGTGACACCCTTCTATGGGTGACCTAATGACTGGTCCGTAGGACTCATTCCCACCTAATGGAAATAAAGTAACTGATATCTGACTCCTGACAGTTTGTTCTGGTGAACTTCAGATGTTAATATTTTATGACCAAATAATTAGAAGTAGAATTGGTGCTTCAATTTCCTACTTTATTACCAAAATTTGTTTATTAAGGCAGGCTACAGACAGATATGTTTATGGATTGTATCAGTTTATTTGAGTAAATATGGTACAGGCTAACTTAAGCTCTATCGGTAAAAATGGAAAGGAAGCTTGTAAATAAGCTTTTTATGGGCACTTTTCATGTACTTCGCAAAGTGCTCAGTTTTTGTATTCGCCACTTGCCACTCTGATCGTGTTAGGTAGACATCTTGACTTCTGCTTTGAAGTAGTTTATGGACTTGAACTTCATCTGATATGCAGAATTTCGATGACATCCCTTGATTAATTCAGTGTTTGTTCCGTAAAGTCCGTTTCTGTGGGGGTACAATCAAATGTCAAAGGACGTCACATTCCGTGGTGTATTTGCCTTACACTAGTCGCTGTTACGCGGTGATTTCGTTCCAAATATGCGAAGTGATAATAATAACCAATTAAAGTTAGACATTTTTGAGTATTTTTAGGCCTATTCCCCTAGAAAATGCACTCGATGCAACAGAATGTTTTGACTGCAAAAGATGTGACCATTGTCTTTTGCAATACTGGCAAGCTAAGAAAGAAGTTGATTAGAGCACATACAGTGGAATAAATTTGGTGCTTCGGGTGCTTCCGGAAGATGTCACGTATGCTCGCGCGGTACTGTATCTGTTTAGTCCGATCTCAAAACTCGTAACTCGAGATTTCTGGTTTGTTATGGAGTGATCAGTAAATGCTTTATCATTGCAAGTCCACTTAATGACCTATATGATGATCAATGAATGGGAACTCGGCAGTTTTATTCGCAGAATGCGTTGTCAAATTTTTTAGTTAGCGAGATGATTAGCATGGGCAAACTACTATATTATGATTGGCATGTGAATTTCCTGATTTTAAGTTCGTCCTGTGAATGATGTGGTGGTGTCATCTTGTGCTTGTATGAGCAGAATGACAGCCAATGTTGTGTTATCTATACCATGTGGTGTAGTTTTGCTCCTTTTGAGCACAGTGTGTCATTGTATGTTGATTTACTTGAATTTGGTCTATATAATCATAAATAAGTGGAAGTTGGCAGTATAATAGTAATAATATCGAAGGCACAGAAACGCGTTTCACTGCATCTAGCATAATTTCTTACCGTGTTGCTTCACCTTATGGGTGGAAATCGGTATCAAAATATCCGCTAAGTTTATTATGACAAGCAACACGTAGCTCACTGGTGTGACCATTATCAAACTATGAGTTGTAATACTGCCCTACCTACATCTCAACAAGATGTTTCAACATTAAAAACAGCTCGCTTATCCAAATATTTCATTTTTGTACCTTATCTTAAAGATCTGAATGAGATATTTCATGTGTAGATTCACCACTACTTCTGCACAATAGGGAGTCTATCCTTCTGTTTTCAGAAGAGATTCGCTGACATCGTGCAAACTGACACAAATCATTTGGCAGAAATGTATGTAGTGGATGAAGAGCAGGGAGGTTGGAAGTAACATTTGACCCATATCACATTTCTTAGGCGAAATTCGGCAATTGAGAGCAAGGAACGAAGTGGAAGGGGAAAAGAGCAAGCATCATTGAGCACTGAGAAAAGAAGTGGCATACGGGTTAGTGGATGCGAGAGAAGTTGTCTTTATATGTGGTTCTAGGGCGTCTCATCCCATTACATTTGAAGTCGTGTATCTTGTTACAGATGGTGCACTTGGCGCTGGCTTGGATAATTGTACCTGTGGTAATCATGAGAATTCGGATAATGGTGGTAGTGCATCTACTATTACTAATGTGGCATCCATTGTAATAGGGACACTAGAACTACAGCTAGCAAAGATGTTGACATTTGATGATGACATTTTGTTAAGTACTATGTCCTACACAGTTGATGTTGGGATGTCGATGAATGACAAGGTGACAGAGAGTGCAGATAGCTATCAGACCAGTGGGTGTGCGACGTCGTATGGAACCAAAGAAAGGTCTTTCAATATTGCCTCGTCGCTGTGAGAGCGATGGCTCCGGTACCAACAGCCTCAGTGGTGGTTGTATTTGAGGTGAAGTTGCATACTCATCTCCGAGAGATTAGTCACAATCATCTCAACAGTTGAGGAATATCACTAATTTCTATCTTCTGATATCTCCATAGTTCATCGTCTACCATCCTAATTGCTATTTGGACTTATTTAGTCTATCGTACGTCATGGCAGGTCAGTAGCAGAATGTGAAGGTAACAGAATTAGCCTACAGCTTACAGCTCAAGCTGATGTGGAAGAAGAGCATCAATGGCAAACCGTAGCAAAACCCATTACTCTAACCTCAACATTGGGAAGGTATTGCATTCGTACTCCCTGCCTTTTCATCTACCCTCTGTATTATATCAGAATATCTTGACCTTCCTTTATTGTAGTAGCAAAGGAAGTCCCTTAAGTACCTTAAGAAATATGGTGACGGTTTCTTGGCTACACAGACTGTCAGACAAAGTAATGCAATGTCGGAAAGTTAGACATCACACTTCAGCTGAAATTCAATAAATGCAATTATATCTTTTACCCCTAATTAATTAAGCAATGGTAAAGAATACCAGCACCATCATAAATGAAGAGAATTGACAGGAAACAACTAGGAAGGCTTCCTCCAGGTGTTTAGCTATTCTAAGACTTCTGAGCCACATGCTCTAGGCATCTGCCAGATAAAAGTGTGATTTTTTAGCAGTTTATGCTATTTTTCGCATCGAACAGACTACCCCGTGAGTGACCTGCATTTTTTATTTTCGTCCCGTGTGTGCATGTAGGCAGGCAGCTGAGCGAGAAGAAAAGTCCAAAAGCAAAGGCATGGAATCAAAAGGATAGCAATATATAAATTGAGGGACCAAGAACCGAGGAAAATGAAATGGGAAATAGACATGACCACCATTAGCACAAGAGACACCTCTACAGGGACGGAGAAAGAGTCAGTAAGATATGCAGCAGGAAGACGAGAGAATGTCTCCCTGCCTATCAATGAGGCCAAGATATGGCCATTTCGATCCAGGAGAGGAAATTATCCTTAGCACTTATAGATAAAGTTATCTTAATCTTCTAGTGTGTAAGTTCGGCTTTGCATTGATTCAGTCAATAAGGCTATTATAGAGAAACTGAAAAAATAGTTGGTCTGATCCACGGTGCAGCAAACAACCGCTATTCCAATAGAAATGCTCTACTGCTCTGATGTGACAAATAAGCAAACATTCCAACTAGATTGGAGTAGCACTCAGAGAAAATGGAAAATTAGGTATACTTCTCCCATCACCGAAGGATTAGCGTTAATTAAGAGACCAGACACAAGCCATTCATTATCTCTAGTGCTTTCTCGTTGAGGTCTTCAAGTTACTCACATTTGTGAGTTGTTACATCATCGCTTTTAGCCTTATTTATAATATAGTGTGTGAGCTAACAGACCAGGCAATATTCTTGACTCCTTTTGTGTTTCGGTAATGGAATGGTGAATATTCACCTACCACTATTTTTGTAATCAGTTACCAAAAGTGAGCAATTATTGAGGCATGGTGTTGCGGATTTTTCTCAAGCACTATCAAATTACTATATAGTTGAAGGTTTACATCCTCTACCAATTAATGCATTTACTTTGGTTAATCTCCTGCAGATCTGCACAATTCTTCCACTCCAGCGAAGCTGACCCTAAGGCTTCTAGTTCCAGAGGTACCTAAGCTATCACCACTACTCTCACAGCGATGGCTTCCTCCTTCACCTTGAAGTAAGGTGAAATGACAGACGATAGTTCTCTGATTGCGTGTGTTGGCACACACTGACGACCGAGCTGGCGTCATTCGTCAGCTGCAACGAACTCATTATTTAATCCAGTCGTATCATCACCTATATCGTCATCAAAACGCACACATCCATTTTTCATAGTGATTCTTGCGGTGACAGTCGTGGTTGCTGAGCAGTGCATTGGTTGTAACATCCTCACGTTTAATTCAAATTGTATGTTCGCATTCAGTGCTATCGTGCGGACTAGGCGCATGAGCACTGAGATGCGAGAATGGTTAATTACTGTTGCGAAAAGGAGCAATCGTGGAAGGCGAGAGCAACGATTCGTTAAAGCCGCAGTCATTTTCGTCCACATGCTCACTTTGATTCAGTATGCTTGCCAATTCAGTAACATAGCAATCAGTCATAATGACCATCTACTCTTTAAAACAAGGATATACGTGACCCTTTAAAATAATTTAGGACTATTCCTCAAAATGTGATTTAGGACCAAATTACACATACATGGAAGATACCACCCAAATGTGTCCTACATTGATTAAGAGATCAAGTTAGATTGCAAAGTCTGCAACACGATGCTTAGCTTTTGTGTCGTAGGTTGAGGATGGGCCTTTGAGTATTCTTTGACTGACCTGTGATGAGAAGTAGGTTTTACACCTTCCTTTCACCCCATCACATTCCGCGCACTTCAAATGCTCCCCTTCATCTCGAACTCATGCTCGTGCTAATACATTTACTCCTTTTTGTAACGCGGTGTCTATTTGTACACTAAGCATGGCCATGAACTTAAAACGCAAGTTAAAAGATGCCGATCGTGGTACTCTTGCTGATGCTGATATATAAACAGGCTGCGATCCTCAAGACTAATTCCTTTTGCCTGTCGTAGATTAGTGGGTTGTGCCGCAGAAGTGGAGTCTACAACATCACTTAAAAATGGGTGAAATGGAAGCGAATTCACTCATTCCATATTGTAAAAATGGTAAATTAGGGCAAAACAGTAGCCAAAAGGCAGTAATGCAAGGTTGGAAGTCACAGTGCACGATTTTGTGCCTGAACCACTGAAACGAATGAGCAGTGCTGTGGCAGAGAAATAAACCTCGAGTCTTTTAAAGTTTTGAATTTGAGTAAAATGTGAATTTCTGTTGGTCTAGCCTTCCTCAATTCCTGCCTTAGTGCCTTGCCAGCTGAGCCACGAGACTGAGTTTAGTGCAGCAAAATAGGTCTGAGAGGCAGGGGATAACGGTGGCTGTTGTAAGGCTTGCACTGGATTGCAAGAGCTTTTTTTCCTAATATTGTAAAAGAAACTTTTTTGTGGTCACATTGTTGTCATTGTTTGCATTGATAATTTGGATCGGCCAAACTGATGAGGGCATCGCAGCTGATGGTAATGGATTAAGGTTTGCTTGTAAGGTATCCAGATGGACTAGTCGCGTATTGTTGATAAACAGCCTGAATTTCGTGAGGTACTGTTTACAGAGGCACAAATGTACTCTTATTTTGAGGTACAAAATAGCTTTTAATTCATAATAGGACTGAAGACATGATGGTCCGAAATTCACCCCAAGTGACATAAAATGCCTGAAGTAATAAGATAGTATCTAACATCCGGAAAGTGTGATGCAGTCTGTACGTTGAAGGACTGATTTAACACAAACGTATTAGATGAAAAAGGAGAATCACTTATTTAACTCATTTTCTTCCTCCTCAGGCATTGAAACGATTGTGTTAACCGCGGTATCCAAATTGTGCTGTTTTCCAGGTCCTGACCAAAAGCGCTTGATCGTCCACCTTGCATTGCACATTACTTATTAGGATGTGATTGGACGTACAACGAAAAACACAGTCACTGGATCGAAAATCAGCCTAGATTAAGCAGGTATTTATGCCTTCTCTTAGTGTGCCTGCAGTACGTACTCTGAGTGCTTACTGGCTAATGAATGAATCACTTTACACTCCTCGACCCGAAAAGCAGTCGCAAGTGATCAGTGGAAAACAGCGCATCTAGTTGGACAAACCACTTCGACTCTACAACTCTTGGAATAGTCTTCCGTCCCTTGTGTGTTAATCAGGCGGGTTATTTCCCTACATAAGGATCTCTTTTTAACGTTTGCCCTTCACTTTAGTAAGTACGACTGCTGCTTCTTGGCATGACCTTTTTGGTATTGTCCATAAAATGTGGGTTAGAAAAGCTTTTCTATGGAGTGTTGGTATATTGATCCCATTCTCTGATTTTAACAATTCTTTTGATTACCCTTTAAGAACTATAAAGTGGTACAATAATTATTTCAACTATTCTTCCTTGCTGCAATCTAGACCTATGTTATCAACATTAGCGCATATCCCTCCGATGAGAACTTCTCTTGGAACAATTGCGATACCTACGACTGCTGATCAGTGCTGTACATATTGTTACTTTTCCTTCTCTCCCAACTAAGCACTTATAAGTTCTCGAGCGAGGCATCATCAACAGTAGTGTCAAAAAAGCTCATCTTTCTCAGATAAAGGTGACACTTCTGGCAAGGATCTTTGTGATAAGGTTAGGTTAATTAAAAGTAGACTAAATTGTATTAGGTAGACAAAGTACACTTGACATATAAAACTAAACTTTGTTCGATAGGGGCGGGAATAGATTAAAGCAAGGAAAATACCCGAACTATGAGGGACTGGCGGTAGTGATGTGCAACACGTATCGGTGAGGAATCGGGCACACACAATAATGCTATTAAGAATAGGAAAAAAAGGAAAGAAGAAATACATAAAACACCTATGCACACATGCATTGAAATCCAATGAGGCTAATCTTTTTAAGATAAAATCCTAGCAGTCTCTGTGAATCACGAAAAAGGTACAATAATCACGCACTGCAATGGAAGATCGGAGGAAAATAGAATAACAACCCTGACATAGGCTGAAACCACACACACACACCTCTACACCAAGACATGACACTGAGGAGAGCGCAAATGTAACAGTTCCTTTACTTGTGGAATTAGAAATCATTTCCAATACGCGGCGATTATATCTGCTTTCACTAGCGACTGTCCTTTCAGTGAAAATCTTGCGGACATTAATCGGAAAAAGTAGGTGGAATCGGCACTATTGATGATTCGTAGCAGGAAAAGAAAAGGAAAGTTTTTTGCAAAAGTTGACACCCGCAACAAGCACAAACATAAATCTTAACTTATAGGACTCCTAGGATCTGCTGGATATCCATTTCACCCTTATAATGTTCCAACCCTACATTTGGTAGCTTTTTTCCCATTGTACACCCATTCATTACACTGATTGCTCGTTGAGCACTAATTGGATCGTCGTGGCTGACAGTCCTTTGGATAAGGAAAACTCACCTGAATCAAGCATAAACCGTAGGATTTGAAGTCAACATAGGCTAAATATAATACAGGGACATGCCAAAGCATTCGCTTTTCTTTATATTTGGATCATCTCAGACCTTTGCACTGGTAACCCTTCCAAGGGGCGATAATAGTTTGACAAAATCTATAGCATCACAATCTTGAGATAGATAAAAATGATTAGGTTGCAGCCTTCAGGACCAGTTATTACTCGCTCTGATGCATCATGTCTTTGAGGGATGGGTGAAGCCAACACCTCAGCAGGATTTCGAATAGCTGCTACGGCTGAAGATAAACAAAACGCACTTTAGTAGGAACATACTTTGAGAGGGGCAAACCAAAAGAAGGCAGAAGATGTATACTCATTCAAACAATAGTGCGGAGAGTTACGCACATATGCGTGAGCAGCTAAAAGTAAACCACATTGGAGATTGACCAGAAACAAAAGAATGCATTTTACGGATATCGAACTGCTACCTACCTGCGCCGATATAAGCAGTGGTTGGCAATGCACCTTGCATAATCCCAATTGGGATCAACCTGGAGCAGAACTGTTGCTGTTGTTAATTCTGCAGCATAAATTGCAATTAATTGTGTTGAACTAAATCAATGGCCTCGGCTTGTGCAGTGAAAGGGAATTGCAAGGTTCCAAAAGATGCTGTTGGCCGTGGGAAAGCTATGGACTGCACAAACGCGGACCTCGTGAAAGGCCCCATCGCATTGGCCGCGATGTTAATGGACGATCTAGCATTAGCGTTTGTATCTTCATAGTCATTTGGTTACAAGGAGTCAAGAGTTACTTGAGGTGGCGAGAATGTATTAATCGAACAAACTTTCGAATGCATCAGCCAAAAGTGGTGAACAAATATCTTTAACTTGTTGCACGAGCTGCATTTGTGCAGTCGTTGTTGGACTCAGAAATGCCAGATCGGACGAGTGCATTGCCGTCCTCACTCTTGTGCATATATAAAATCTACAATAGCACTTAACCCGACAGCGACTTATTATGGCGTTATACTATTGTAAGAAGTTCTCAGTATCTACTTCTGGAACGAATATGAATATGCTGTTGATATGTACTTAAGGAGGGAATCGGGAGTATGTAGTGACCCTTGCCATTATTCATAATGGTAGTAGCCCCTACAATGGGATTCATTAAGCCATTTGTCGGTGTCACAGGGTCCTTAATTAGATGACTAGGTGTGGCAATTTGCGCCACATCCAGGGAAGATTACGCCTGGTCTTGAACTCGGAAGTGGTGGTGACACATGAGTGTTAACTTAAGGCAAGAATCCGGTTGACCCCAACTTCCTTTCAGAAAGCGCAACTGCTGCCGCATACTACACCATAGCGTCAGATCTCTATTCAAAACAATTGTTATTGACAACTACCATAATTCACAGTTACTGTCACGACCGATTTATTTTCTGGGAAATTTTCAACTGAAGGAGTTGATTGATCAGTTTCTGTTGCTTTCAGAGCGATTTTCGCTGCAACACCTTTGTTCTAAAGAAAACAGTACAAAATTAGAGAAATGGCCTCAGTGTATTAACTATCAACTTGCCGAATCCGTTAAAATGGTTACCTACTAAATAGTTTTTCATTCGTAAAAACACCTAGCAGTTCCCGTTTTCGTTGGTCAATACAAACTTATTCAAAAAATAGGGCCTAAACAAGCCCGCAATATAAACGGCAATGCTGCATCATCCACCAACAACGCGACCGTGGCCATAGATGCCTTTTACGAGGTAATGAGAATTTGACCCATGTTGGTACCAGTCTATTGCCTTTGCAAAGCAAACAGCATCACTTTAAGCTTTACAGTTTGATCCCACTGCAAAAGCCAGAACCATTGTTGTGTCTGCGCAAATCTCACATAGTCTCACGCTGCACCAACAGTTTCCCGACAATTCCAAATTCAACTAGATGGGGTTATGCTAGCAGTACCACCAGCTGCTATACTTTGATTTTTGTTGCTCACTAATTTGCGGTCAGATATCTAGAATACAGCTTAAATCCATTCATTCATTTTTACTTTTCATGGGAAAATATTAAAGTTTGCTTTAAATAGACATCCGCATTCCGTGATTCCTTACACAATCATATGCTCTTAATTTCCTCTCATGATCCCAATAGTCATGCAAAAGAAACTTTAAAAATTATTTCTCATAAGTATAATCTGTAAATAATTTCGGTTCTTCTACTGTACCCAACCAGATCTTTGTCCAAAATTCCCAATGTTTGCCCGTGTTCGAAATCTAAATTTGTAAAATGGTTTTAAACGTCAATAGATGGAAAGCTGAAGCACATCTTTTGACCGTTCCCTTGACTTCACAAATTGAAAACTGAGGATCATGTTGGGCTTAAGGAAGGTGTTAACGAGTGGAATCGTCATCGTTATTAACTTCGTGCGCTCAAATGCAAACACAAGCATGATTGTATGTTATTTAGTCTACTTTGATGTTAAACAGTCTTAGTAGGCTTGAATGAGATAGGTAATTTAACAATTGCTCAATGATTTGTGTAATTAAGATCTACGATTTATTTTAGTCTGCTCATATTTGACGACATTTCGTGTAGAGTTCCAACCTTGGAGAAGAAGAAGTATTTCGAATGTTGGGCCTCAACCTAGATGTTTGGAGTGAGAAGCTCACCACATGATACTAATAAACACTGCCCAACTCTAAGTACATCATTCTGTCAGGGCCGTAATTAACAAGTTATAAATTTACTCCTGATTTAAGCATAACAGGAACATATTTAATGACGAATTTGTAATGGTGAAATATTTTCCTGTGATCTGGTGACGTCAGTCATTGCTTTCATTCATGTTCTTAGTAATTATGCTAATACTTCAGTTATTTTAACTTCCATCAACTTATTAGTAAAAAATAAATTAAATTAAGAAATGTTCCTCCACACCAACCACTTTTTATCCCTCTTCTTTGAACTTTCTTCTGTACTCAGTCTCTTCAACATCTTGTCTCCTCACCCTCATTTGCCCATAGGTGTTACTTCTGCTCTTCCTATTCTCCCTTCTCTCCTTCACCAACCTCCAAATGCTACACGATTTACTCAGCAATTACTTTCGTCAGCCCTTTTGTTAATTCTTCTGTAGCTTTCATTCCAAAGTCTCCTCTTCGTTGCTCACACAGTCTTGCCGTCACTGCTACTTTTTTCTAATTTCCACCAACTCTATCTGCTCCCAGCTTTATTTGCCCCACCCTTCACAATTTCGCAAATCCATTACCATCGTATCCTCGATGAAACAGAATGACTCCAAATAATCATTGAAATTGGCATATCGAGTATTATTACGTAGAGGGCAGTTGACACATTTGCCGTTCGCGTAGTTAATGGATCTCATAGGCAAGTGTTTTCACCAAAGGAACTGCTTATTTATCTTTCTTACTCAAATGTGTCAGGGCTATTGTTCTGCGAAGGCAATCTGCTGTAGTTCCTACCAATTTTTCCTCTCATTTTATTGTTCTTGCGTGAGTCAACTGCTAATCGTATAGGCTAGGCATTTTACGGCTCGCCATTATAGCTTCTCCTCGTTTGTAAAGTATATTCTCCCTTATTTTTATTAGGAGAAATGCTATTATTAAATGTTAAATGATGCCTTAAAGTGGAATTTGATTTGCCAAAGAGCTGCAATAGCATGATTACCTACAGAATTAAGTGAACAATGAAAAGGTCTTCATCTCTTTTTCTCTATTTCCTTAACTATTTTAATTTTATTAACTAATCTGGTGGCAGCTGTCGAAATATTTCAAAGCCTACAGTAGCTTTCCGAGACGGTGCACGTTTGAATGAAGCCTTATCAAATCAAGTCACTAGTGGGTAATCTCAGAGCACAGATTGTTAAATATTTGCACGTCCATTTGATTCGATTGTGCTGAAATGCAAAATTGTGATTACCAACATTAATAATAAGGCGTATTTATTATTTATCAAGACCCACCAAAAACCGTGCAGTTAATTCACTGAAAATTAAGTAAATATAGCAAAGAATGGTATTCTTCTTTTCCACTTAGCTTTTCTGATGCATCAGTCAATTCACCTTGCACTTGTTATCTGTCGCAATCGCCAGAAGATGCCATTAATAATTTGGAAGTAAACCATTTCTTTACTTGTGGTGCTACGCATGTACACGGAATCCTTAAGAGGTCAGAGTAGTATGACAGAAAATATGTGACTAACGGACAGAAGAGCTGAGGCTGGTGGTGTGGCACAAAGGCCATGCCAATTGCAAAGTGTGGGTTTATTGCAACCATCGAACTCTGCTGATGTTGTTTGAGCTGAGAGAAGTTGTCATCGTGTAAAGTGGAGTTCTTGTTAGGGGGACATGCATGATTTAGAAGCACTTGAGTTGATTGGCCTCAGGCAAACTTTGAGCACAATGATATGTGGAATAGCCATCACAGCTGAAATTTAGCTCCATATATCAGCATAAATAAAGCCATTTCTTACACATGGTTGAGACTAAAGCATGCGTGCTGCATACGTCATTAGCCAAGGTGTTTTGAAGTAAAATATGGTTAATTTATAATTGGCCAGTATTTCAGGCACCAATGTGAAACGTATGCAGATCGTGGAGGGGCCTGCTTTGGAGATTCCTCTGAATCGAAAGAAGCATACTTACTCTTTGCATTTGCTACAAAAATATTTGATAGGCCAATCGAATATTTTTCATGGGCAGACCTTTTAGCATCTGCTGATCTAGGTATGGTTTCGGAGTCATCGACAGTTGACCCACATCTTTTGCTTACCTATCCACCGGCTCCCCTTGGCAGAAATTCTTTCGTGCTGGTTCATCGTTTCACATCCATTGGGATGACTTTAGTCAAAATGATAAACGAATTAAGCCCAAATGCTATGAACACTTGGATTTGATGTGCCAAGACCGCGTCTAAGCGCTACAGAGGGTGAAGATTTCTGTGCATGTGAGATGAAATTATTCTGCTTACTGCCAAAAAATCTCATATTTTATCTTCTTGAGTAAATTGTAAATATAGAGAAAGAGGGGTCAAATAAAAGGGCAGAGATTTCCTAGTGTGCATTAAACTTTATAGTACATATTGGGCAATAAGTGTACTGGCAACAAGGCGTTTACCTAGTGTTGGCCAGCTTTGACTTTGTGATTAAGTGGAATGCAATAGTTAACAATCCGTAGATGGCAACTAATCTTCATTTTCTGCCCAAGAAGTGCCTGCAAACAAAATTTGGAACTACTGTATGAGCTCCGTTATGCGTCAGCGATTCGCAGACAGCAGTACGGTAACTGCAACATTTAATCTTTCTCATCTCGTTCAACTCATATCCGTCATCGCGTTATGTGTTTTAATATGAGAAATAAGCATTCGTATTCTACCATGGCCTTTTTTGCAAGGTTTAATTTACGTCTGTTGCCCTTTTGTGGCTTATCTCTCACATTTCTTCCCACTTTCTAAGCTGACCTGGCTAAACATTTGTGCATAATAAGACTTCCTTGACGTCTCGTCTCAATTTCTAACCATGCCAGATTTTAATTACTTCGTTGTTTGTCATTTTTTACTGGAACACAAGTCGGCGAACACAAACGCATCCAAAATGAGATGATAAATTTTGCAGATGTGTATTAACTTTAGACCAGACTTTGTTTCACGGAGATGCAGGAAAGTAACACTGGATTTGAGGCGGTGTTTGCACAGGTCAAGTGTACCACGGCATAATAAACCAGAACAGCAAAAAGTGTTGTTCGGACGATGAATGGGAATGGGAGTCAGATGCGTAAACATCTGACACAGGGAACCAACCAGTGAAGGAGGTAACAGTTGTGACGTCGCCACTCCCAACCATCAGTATGTCAGCACCCGTGGGTGGAAGGGGTGTTGGGAGTGAAAACACGTGCGAAGTCACGACTTGGCCTCATGCGTGTCGACCTTGGAGGGGGATGAGATGTTCACGCACATCAACGGTTTGGTCGGGATAGCATTTTGTCGCAGCTAAACTAAAAAGTGGCAAGATCATACTTAGACTGACTTCATAAGGTGAGGAGCAGCTTAAAATGCCATTGTCTCTAGAGAGTGGATGGCTAGAGATATCAAGACAGCTTATGGGTATGAGGATATCATTTTTAGATTTAATGCACTTTAGGGACGCTAGATCAAAATCGAATTAAAGAAGGTTAAAATGCCACTTAGTATGTGCTGGGATGCAATTTTTGAAAGTTTACTAGACACACGGTGGGTAGGTGGTTCTGACCCGCGAAAACAAAGCGGCTTGCTTATCTTGCCCCACTGCAGACGCAGTCACGTGGTCAATTCGTTTGCTCTGACAAGCATTGCATTTGATTAGTGGATCTCATAGTGATGATCTTGTGATATTATTCCAAGCGACATGCCATATGGGCTGGAATGACTGACCCATATTGTTCCACTCTGCTGTGGTGATGCAGGGTAGTCTGCTGTCGTGCATG